GGAGAAAGCGTCTTTTAATTTCATGGCTGCAATCACCATCTGCAGTGATTTTGGAGCCCCCAAAAATAGTCTGACACTGTTTCCACTGTTTCCCCATCTATTTCCCATGAAGTGATAGGACCAGATGCCATGATCCTAGTTTTCTTAATGTTGAGCTTTAAGCCAACTTTTCCACTCTCGTCCTTTACTTTCATCAAGAGGTTTTTTAGTTCCTCTTCACTTTCTGCCATAAGGGTTATGTCGTCTGCATATCTGAGGTTATTGATATTTCTCCCGGCAATCTTGATTCCACTTTGTGCTTCTTCCAGCCCAGCGTTTCTCATGAGGTACTCTGCATATAAGTTAAATAAGCAGGGTGACAATATACAGCCTCGACGTACTCCTTTTCCTATTTGGAACCAGTCTGTTGTTCCATGTCCAGTTCTAACCGTTGCTTCCTGACCTGCATACAGATTTCTCAAGAGACAGGTCAGGTGGTCTGGTTTTCCCATCTCTTTCAGAATTTTCCACAGTTCATTGTGATCCACACAGTCAAAGACTTTGGCATAGTCAATAAAGCAGAAATAGATGTTTTTCTGGAACTCTTTTGCTTTTTCTATGATTCAGCGGATGTTGGCAATTTGATCTCTGGTTCCTCAGCCTTTTCTAAAACCAGCTTGAATATCTGGAAGTTCACGGTTCAAGAGTTATTGGGGATATATACTATGAAGGAATATATTTCTTCCATAAAATTACCTGTATCTATATTATGCTTAAGACCTGGTCAGAAGAATCAGTTAGAATCTAGAAATGATAGACTGTGTGTGTGTGACTGTGTGACTGGCACACAGAAGACTTGACTGGTGAGTGAATGAGGTGAGGTGTGTAATGATTACAGCTGTTGATTCTCTGACATACACGGCTGCTCACAAATAGTTCCCGATTCTCCCACTAACACATCCTAGGCGGCGTTAGGCTGAGAATCGAGGGCTATGTGGCTTAGAATCCTCCTTTTTGCCGTCCGGGCGTGTTCCTAATTAAGCCCCTTGGAGCTGGTTTCAGACTGTCAACTTTATATGTTCAAATTATGGCCTTCAAACTGCCTTTAATTTATTCTGACTTTACCCCATTGTTCTTTTTCTGTCTGTTTGAACTAATGGGAAGTAAATAAAGAAATAAGAGATGAATTACTTAATCTTTCATCTTTTGTTTCTCCACAGAGTGTCACTCTTCTCCCAAATTTTATTCAGCTCTGTATTTCTCCAGTACAGGGAAGAGTTTTAAAAGCAAAAGGAGTTTAAGAATTTTAAGTTCCCTGTTTTTAGTCTTAGCAAAACAATAGAGGTTTATTAATTTTAATGTTATTAAATAGTGGTGTTGTAATTTTACAGTTCTCAAAAGAAATTCTTACTCAATCACAGTGGTGGAAGTAATGAAATTATATTACAGAAAATTGGCAAAATAAAATCAAATCACCCATAATCCTGTCACCTTAATTCAACCTTTATTATCTTTTTCATTTATTTCTTTCTACTGTGGCTTCCTGTGTCGATTTTTGCATACCTTTTGTTTTTGCATAACTTTAATCAGAGTGCAATTCCACTTTATATCCTGTTTTGGCACTTAACATAAAATAATTTTATATGGCTGTGTATTCTTAATAACCAACATTTAGAATGCACGCAGAGTGTATTCTTGTTAATGTGATGTGATTAATCACCCTCCAGGACTGAACAGTTAGATTCTTGTCTTTTTTTTCCGTTATAGTCAGTGAGACTACAAGCGTTTTTATAAATATAATTTTTTCAGACTTTTAATTATGTGGATTATCTCCTTATGATTGGTTTTCAGATTGGATAAAAGGGTGAATATTTTTATGCTGTTTGAATCATATTGCCAAATTATTTCTAAAAGAATTATCATCATTTGCACTAGCAACTGCAAGTGTTTTGCCATACTATTTGCCAATGCTAGATTTTCTTTCTATCTATATAGTTATGTATTTAAATATGTACTATGTTAAAAATGATATTATTTTGTTCTTTTTATTTCTTTTGTTACTGTAGAGTATTATAATTTCTCCATATATTTGCTTACTAGTTGTAAATTGTTTATATCCTTTGGTTATTTCTTTAATGCTCACTTTTCTGTTATAAATCTTAGTAGTTATATGAATGACATTAACACTTTGGTTTTGTTTACTGAAAAATTTTTGTCTTACTTTTAAATCAAAATTTTGTATTCTGTTACTTATCTTTATAAAGGAATGTACATGACAGAAGATTGAACACATAAAGCTTTCTTTTTAGCATATAATTTCTTCTGAAATTGAATTTAGTTTTTGATGATCCAAATGATCATGGCATTTTGCATGATGTACTCTGCATATGAGTTAAATAAGCAGGGTGACAATATACAGCCTTAACGATATACAGTACTCCTTTCCCAATTTGGAACGAGTCTGTTGTTCCATGTCAGGTTCTAACTGTTGTTTTTTGACCTGCATAGAGATTTCCCAGGAGGCAGGTCAGGTGGTCTGGTATTCCCATCTCTGTAAGAATTTTCCATAGTTTGTTGTGATCCATACAGTCAAAGCCTTTGGCGTAGTCTATTAAGCAGACACAAATATTTCTCTGGAACTCTCGTGCTTTTTCAATGACCCAACTGATGTTGGCAATTTGATCTCTGGTTCCTCTGTCTTTTCTAAGTCCAATTTGAACATCTGGAAGTTCACAGTTCATGTACTGCTGAAGCCTGGCTGGGAGAATTCTGAGCATTACTTTGCTAGCATGTGAGATGAGTGCAATTGTGTGGTACCTTGAGCATTCTTTGGCACTGCCTTTCTTAGGGATTGGAATGAAAACTGACCTTTTACAGTCCTGTGGCCACTGCTGAGTTTTCCCAACTTGCTTACATATTGAGTGCAGCACTTTCACAGCATCATCTTTTAGGATTTGAAATAGCTCAGCTGGAATTTCAACACCTCCTCTAGCTTTGTTCAGTGTGATGCTTCCTAAGGCCCACCTGACTTCACATTCCAGGATGTCTGGCTCTAGGTGAGTGATCACACCATCGTGATTATCTTGGTCATGAGGATCTTTTTTGTATAGTTCTGTGTGTTCTTGCCATCTCTTCTTAATATCTTCTGCTTCAGTTAGGTCCATACCATTTCTGTCGTTTGCTGTGCCCATCTTTGTGTGAAATGTTCCCTTGCTGTCTCTAGTTTTCTTGAAGAGATCTCAAACACAGTTCTGTCTCAGTCTCTGCGCACAAGGTTTGTTTGAGTCCTCCAGGTGTCTCTGTTGGGTTTGGGGTTTGATTCGAAACGTGATCTCACCTGCCCTCCCGCCTTGCTTGGGTGTCCAGCGGTAGGACTCTCGCCTGCCACGCGGGGGCCCGGGTCGCCTCCCGGCCCACGCAGCCACAGCGTCCCCTTTGTGAGCTTCCCTGGTGGCTTAGAGGGTAAAGCGTGTGCCTGCAATGCGGGAGACCCGGGTTCAATCCCTGGGTCGGGAAGGTCTCCTGGAGAAGGAAATGGCAATCCACTCCAGTATTCTTGGATGGAGGAACCTGGTAGGCTACAGTCCATGGGGTCACAGAGAGTCAGACACGAATGAGTGACTTCAATTTCACTGTCTTGCTGGGGCTTCTCATTTGTTCTTGGATGTGTGGTATCTTTTTTTGCTGGGTCCAACATTCTCCTGCCCATGGTTGTTCAGCAGTGAGTTGTAATTCTGGAGTTCTCGCAGGAGAAGATGACTACACGTCCTTCTACTCCGCCATCTTCCTCCGCCACACCATTCTGCTCCTTGTTGCTGGCAAGCTGGAGTTTGCCGCTCAGGTTGGACTCAGCCCTGGTTCTGTGTCTCTGGCTGGCCCGGGAGGAGCCCGCAGAGGAGCACTAGGCCGAGCGGGTGGGTGTGGGGTCCGCGGGCGCCGGGGGAGCGGGGCTCCGGCCGGATCAGCGCCGCTGGGGAGGGCCGCGCCGGGCTGAACGCACCGCGCCAGCAGACCGAGCTGCGCACCATTCCGACTCACTCTCCTAGAATGACCAGTTTCACTCTTCAGAGAGTGGATAAAGCCAGGCTGGATGGAGCACAAGCTAGGATCAAGATTGCCGGGGGAAATATCAGTAACCTCAGATATGCAGATGACACCACCCTTCTGGCAGAAAGTGAAGAACTGAAGAGCCTCTTGATGAAAGTGAATGAGAAGAGTGGAAAAGTTGGCTTAAGACTAAACATTCAGAAAACTAAGATCATGGCATCCAGTCCCATCACTTCATGGCAAATAGATGGGGAAACAGTGGAAACAGTGAGAGACTTTAATTTTGGGGGCTCCAAATTCACTGCAGATAGTGACTTTAGCCATGAAATTAAAAGACGCCTGCTCCTTGGAAGAAAAGCTATGACCAACCTAGACAGCATATTAAAAAACAGAAACACTATTTTGCCAACAAAGGTCCATCTAGTCAAAGCTATGGTTTTTCCAATAGTCATGTATGGATGTGAGAGTTGGACTATAAAGAAAGCTGAGTGCTGAAGAATTGATGATTTTGAACTGTGGTGTTGGAGAAGACTCTTGAGAGTCCCTTGGATTGCAAGGAGATCCAACCAGTCCATGCTAAGGGAAATCAGTCCTGACTTATTCATCGGAAGGACCGATGTTGAAGCTGAAACTCCAATACTTTGGCCACGTGCTGCAAAGAGCTGACTCATTGGAAAAGACCCTGATGCTGGGGAAGATTGAAGGCGGGAGGAGCAGGGGACGACAGAGGATGGGATGGTTGGATGGCATCACCGACTCCATGGACATGAGTTTGAGCAAGCTCCGGGAGTTGGTGATGGACAGGGGGGCCTGGCGTGCTGCAGTCCACGGGGTCGCAGAGTCAGACACGACTGAGCGACTGAAATGAGCTGAACTGACCCAGCTGATACTATGCTATTCTTCACTACATGTATATGTGGTAGCCAAGAATACTTTGGCTAATACAAACACCTGACAATTTTCTAATTTTATAGGAAAAGAGGAGCTAAGATTGTATCCAAGAGAGTTGATGATTTCAAAGAAAAGTTTCAACATAGACTTGGAAGAGTTTTAGATCCGTAAGTTCATGAGTAACTTAAAATTGATAATGTTTTTGGATCAAATTTACAAAGTACTCCTGTCATAAATGTTGCTTTGTGTTCTATTGGAGTCTATCTATTAAATAAGAATCATCCTTTTGTGTTAATCAGGGAACCCTGTTAGCCACCTAACAGCTTGGGGTTCTAGTAAAGTACTGAGTCTCCAAAAGGGAGAGGGCATTTGGGAAAGAAAGAGGAAGAATTTTATGTAAAACTTTATTTCAAGGATCTCAGAAATTTAACTTATTGTGTTAGATTTTCCTCTCCTCTCTCTCTATAGATAGAGTATGTTTGTATACATGGATACTTCCATAATTCTACTTTGGGACCATGTTCTATTTTTTCTTTTTCCATTTGGGCCTTTTCACTGAAAGCCAGTGAAAGCATTCAGCTGTTGCTAATGTGTGTTGGAGATTAGAGAAAAGATCTGTTGGAGAACTTCTGTTTAATCTTTATAGTTTGGTTATAGGAGAATATATAGGTGATTAAAAATGTATGGAAAACATATTTTAAATTCCAGGGATGCTATGTGGTGGGAATTTTCACTAAAGAAACTTTTTTCTTTGATAGAATTGCGGAAACAATGAATGTTCCCCCAGACCACACATTTGGGGCTTGTCTCCGTCCTGAGGACTACGGTAAATATACAGTTTCTTTTAAAAAAGCAAAGACAAAATCCTGCCCCCTCCCCCCAATTATGTAGTGAAGTTCACCATCTCCTTTTCTCAAAGCTTCCAATTTTAAAGGCTTAAAATATTATATTAACATTGATGAGAACAATTTGTAGCACAAGAAAGAAGCAACATTTTCATATTATATTTGAAACAGGTACAGTTTAAAGCCCTGGTAATGAATTCCTTAAGCGTAGTTAAGGCTTAGAATTCTATTTAGAATATAAATAAGGCCTATATTAAACAAGCAAAAGTGAACTGAAGCAACTTTTTAATGATTTCAAATATTGTCCCGGGTCCTTGCACTCAAAATGTGGTTGCAGACAGGCAGTGTTGGTGACCCTGCAAGGCTCTTAGAGAAGCAGACTCTTGGGTTCTACCCTCAGACCTCCTGAATCAGATACGGCATTTTCACAACATTCCCAGATGAACCGTAGGGGCATTCAGCTTCCAGAAAGCACTGTGCAACCATACACTGAAGAACCACTCTTCCCACCAGTCGATCAATGAACCAATCTATGAAGTAGCGGAAGAAACTTACCAGGATCTTGTCTTTGATGCTAAGTGATCAAGTAGCAACCTTCCCCAGGGAAAACTATTTGAAAGCTTATTAGGATTGAGCTGTGTATTAGTGGTTTTGAAAATATAGTCTGCAGTCTACCTGCATTATAATCACCCATAGAATTATAGAGTTTATTAAATATGGGTTCCTGGGACCCATGCCCAGATAATTCTGATTCAGTAGGCTCTCATGTACACTAAATTTTAGGAACCTCCCAGGTGGCCTTAGTGGTAAAGAACCCATGTGCCAGTTCAGGAGATGGAAGAGACATGGGTTTGATTCCTGGAGGAGGGCATGGCAATCCACTCCAGTACTCTTGCGTGGAGAATCCCATGGACAGAGGAGCCTGGGGGGCTATGCAGCCCATAGCGTGGCAAAGAATCAGACCCAACTGAAATGACTTAGAACACACATTGAAAGGGTGTTAGCTAAAGTCTACTCACTAACAAATAAAATGCTTATTTGCTAATGCAACGCGATGTTCTAGAGCATCGTGAGTCACCACGTTAGGAGATCATACTTTTGTTTTAGATCAACTGTTGTGTGTTTAATGGATGTCTGCCCATCTCAGAGGCTCTTCAGACTCCTAGGAGTGGGTAAGGAGGGATGTAGGAAATCCATCAGTTAGTCTGAAAAACAAGTAGGTAATCATGGTCAACTGCCTACTTGAGGGCAGTTTCATGCTGGTGGGTGCCCCAATTTGCGGTCTGTTGGATTCGTGGGGTCTTGTGCACAGTACATGGTTTTCCAGGTATTTATAGCATGAATCAATGAATCCAACACATAGTTTTCATGTTGATAGTGAAACACAGACAAATTTTCTAATGCCCTCCTCCAGGGACCAACCCATGTCTCTTCCATCTCCTGCATTAGCACTTGGGTTCTTTACCACCAGGGCCACCGGGGAGGTTCCTAAAATTTAGTGTACGTGAGAGCCTACTGAATCAGAATTATCTGGGCATGGGTCCCAGGAACCGGCATATTTAATAAACTCTATGGGTGATTTTAATGCAGTTGAGTTATGTTATCCTTATAAATTGAGTGACAAGACAGTGTCATAAAATGAAAAGGAAGAACATTGCCATTAATAGTTTACAAAGTATGTATGTGTCAGTAGCAGCCTTGGCAGCATAGGGTGTAACGGGGGAAGGGGACTCTCAGTCCTCTCTAGACTTTTCAAGGTTCTCACGGATGCAGAGATAACCCTAACTGTCCCTTGTGACTACTGTTAGGGTTAATTCACGTTGTCTGTGCTGCGGAAAGCTTCAGGGTCTGCCTGCTTCTGAGGACACAGGTTTTTCTACTGGATCTGGATTACTCCCTTCCTCTTGCTTGGGGAAATAAAGGCAACGACACAAAGGATGCCTCATCCCCGGGCTGGGGGTTGTTGGTTCTGTTAATGTGCCTCTGGGAAGAGGGCCCGGGCTGTGTCCAGCTCCCAGAATGCACCCGGGCAGGGGTGACTGAGGGGGCACCCAGGGCAGGCGCGCCGCGGGGCATCACGGGAGCTGGTCGTGGGCAGCGGGGCATCACGGGAGCTGGTCGCGGGCAGCGGGGCATCACGGGAGCTGGTCGCGGGCAGGGGGCCGCCGCGGAGCTGGCCTGGCTTCTCTCACGTCATGGGTGTGGTGGTGAGGGCGGGAGTGTCTCCGAGGGCCGGAGCTAGTACTCCCGATTTCAGCTCTTCAGCGATGGGTCTTGAGTAGTCGTCAGTGATTTGCCATGAGCTTCGTAAGTATTCTCTTAGGGCCGGGCTGGAAGAGGGTGTCAGCCTGCATCTTACCCACAGGCTGACCATTCAGTAGTTATTTTTGGATGTTAATGGAGATGGAAGGCCTCTCAAGATAAAAACAAAGAACAAAACCAACTCAACCAAGGGCCGTCTTGTGGAAGAGCCGGGGGTGGGGGGGGTGGGGGCAGGGCTTCCTTATACAGAACAGCCCCCAGGGGGTTGACGGCAGGGGAAGAAATGTGGAGGGGAAGAGCAGCCATGCTTTGTCAGAAATCACCCCTCACCCAACCACTTCGATTGCCTCTCAAAGAGCCTTACTCAGGTTTTGCCCACTTTAGGATGGTCAGATGGACGCTGACTCCATTTCAGATTATTTTAGGCTGAGCACTTGCCTTGTTCCTGGAAAATGCACTGGTAGTAGGCTTTTCACGCATAAGAGTAAGGGTCTACCCTTAGAAAGAAGGCTTTTATCAGAATATGCAGGATTAACTCCTGGCTTTATAATAAACTTAGAGGTGCTAATAATACCTATTAAAAGAGACCCTTGAGAGACCCTAATAATATAGAGCCTTGCACAAAGTAAGTGTAAATATTAGTTGCTTTGAAGTGCAGGCAAATTTGCAGTTTTTTCAGTTTTTAAACATTGAAGTAGAGATGATTTAAAATGTATTAATTTCCGCTGTATAGCACAGTGATACAAATATGTGTATGTGTTTAAATATGTGTTTAAAATTCTCCATTATGGTTTATACTTCCCTGTGTTGTATAGTAGGACCTTGTTGTTTGTCCATCCTATATATAATAGTTTGCATCTGCCAATCCCAATCCATCCCTCCCCACCTCCCCCTTGGGCAACTTCCAGTCTGTTCTCTATGTTTGTGATTCTGTTTCATGGATAGATTCTTTTGTGTCATATTTTAGACTCCTCATACATATGATATCAGATGGGGTTTGTCTTTCTCCTTCTGACTTACTTCACTTAGTATGATAATCTCTGGTTGCATCCATCAGTGTTGCAATTTAAATTAACCTACTCAGGCTATCACAGCCAGTTGCCAGTAAAAGCAGGAAGGGTGGGGTATAGGCCTCGGGGAAAAGAACAGAGGGAGAGGTTTCTTCTGGTGACATCCACCAAACTCTCACATCTGAAGCACCATGGTCACCTCTGGTCTGATCTCTGTCACCATAAACATCCAAGGAATGAGGTCTAGAGGCAGTGTGCATATACTTTGTGTCATAATTCAACAAAGTTCCTTTAAGTCATGAAAGAAAAGTGAAAGCAAGGGTGAGGTCTGGGGGGCTGCAGCTGGTGGATTGGAGGGGTTGTTACTGGGGTGTGCGTCAGGACTCAGTTAATGGACTGTGAATGGAGGCAGGTCTCCCATGCTGGTCACAGTATAAGGGAAGCAGAACAGAGAAATGGAGACTTGATGTGCAGAGTGAAGGCAGAATGAAAACTCACACTAGGAAGGAATGGGGAACTCGTGTCCAGTTTCTTCAAGGTTTCCCAGAGGTCTAGTGGCCCTAAGGCACACAGAGTGACCCCCGCATGGAATCAGCCCCAGCTTTCAGGTCCTTGGCCTTGTAGACAAATGTCTGCTAAGACAAATGTCTGCCTGTCTCTTTAGACAGGCCAGAGCTTTACTGTCTTAGGAGAGGACTTGATAGCTGAGTGGGCTCATGATTCTCTCATAAAATTCATTTATTCAGACGTTTTTCATTGAACGGAGAAGTGGCATATAGCAGAAGTATTCATTTTCATCAATTACTGTGTTTTTTTTTTTTAATATACAAAAGGGTTTTCTGTCATGCTGCTTAATAGTCTTGGCATTAGGTTTTTTTCATTCACAGAAGTTGCTAGGTCTCTCTCTTTTAGGATGTGAATAATAGTGACAGACTTTAAATTCAGATAAACGACTTTTCTTTCCCTCTTCAATAGGAGTTGGTGATCTCATCCACAGAAGGCTTCCAGGGGAGTATCTCCGAGGCAAGGACAGACAGCGAGCCCTGGTATCGGCAGTGCGGCATCACTTGAAGAAAGTTAACTACCAAAACTTTGACACTCTGCTGGCAGCCTTCAGGCACTATGACAAGGCCAGTAGTAAAGGGGAGATTTTTGGTCTATTCATGGGCTTACAGGTCCAGCGAGCTGGTGTAGATCAGGATCAAATTTGCCGTACACCAGAAACTAACACAACATCATAAATCAACTATTTACATGGGTGTGTAAAACTGTTTACTAAAACAGGTGGTGGTGGACTGGATTTGATCCTGGCTTTCCTGGTGGCTCAGATGGCAAAGAATCTGCCTGCAGTGTGGGAGACCCAGGTTCGATTCCTAGGTCAGGAAGATCCCCTGGAGAAAGGAATGGCCTCCCACTTCAGTATTTTTGCCGGGAGAATTCTATGGACAGAGGAGACTGGTGGACTACAGTCCATAAGATTGCAAAGAGTTGGACACGACTGGGTAACTAACACACACACACACACACACACACATATATTTATAGAACATAGTTCCCTGTGCTGTACAGTAAGTCCTTGTTGTTTATCTACTTTCTATGTAGTAGTTTGTTAATCCCAAACTCCTAATTTGTCCCTCACCCACCTCCTCTCCCCTTTGGTAGCCATAAGTGTGTTCTCTTTGTCTGTGAGTCTGCTTCTCTTTGGTGGATAAGCTCATTTGTGTTGTATTTTAGATTCCACAAATAAGTGATATCATATTGTATTTGTCTTTCTCTGCCTGACTTACTTTAGTTAGTATAATCATCTCTAGGTCCATCCATGTTGCTGCAAATGGCACTATGCCATTCTTTTTTTTATGGCTGAGTGGTATTGCATCGTATATACGCACCACATCTTCTTTATCCATTCCTCTGTTGATGCATCGACATTTAGGTCATTTCCATGTCCTGGGTGTTGTAAATAGTGCTATAGTGAACACTGGGGTACATGTTTCTTTTTGAATTAGAGTTTTCCCTGGTATATGCCCAGGAATGGGATTGCTAGAGTATATGCATGTGCCCATGTATTTTAAGTATTGTCTGTGGCTGATTGTGCAATTACACATGCAGAGTAGTGCATCAGAAACTGAATGGACTTTTTGGCCCTTGTCAGAAAAAGTTTGCTGACCCCTGGAATTGATCTGTGTTGTCAAAATATGGTTCTTTAACCACCAGCATTGTTACTTGGGGATATATTAGAAATGCACTTTTTAAGTCCCACCTCACACCTGCTGAATTAGGAACTTGGGATTGGGGTCTAGCGATTGTGTTCTAACAATCCTCAGTGATTCTGCTGTGTGTTCAGGTTTGAGAACCACTCTTATAGATCGTTAAACTGGAGTGTGCTGGGAACCTGGGGGATGGACAGTCTCTGCCTCACTCTGAACTTACACACATGGTACCGTCAGTCTGGTCTAAGTCAAGCTTAGAACACTTCTCCCCGTGGGGGAGCAAGTGTGGTTTCAGTTTTTGAGAGAGCAAGGTCATTCCATTTTCAAACTACTCTAAACATTTTATGCTTTGATCAAATCAGATCAATGTGGGGCTGTGTAATTACCTGACATCATTTTAGGCCATTGCAGGATTTACCAAGTTGCACTGCCTTTGGCTTGCACTTAGGAGTCCTACTACACAAATGTGAAATGTGGCAGACTTTTTATTAGTATGCCCATGCAGCTGTTATTTTAGTCACATACATCCTCCTTATAAGGAAACCCAGTCTTTCTTTTTTTTTTTTTCTTGTTTTTTTTTGAAACCCAGTCTTTCTAGAGCAAATAACCGTGTTTTGTCTAAATATCTGGTTCGTTCTTACCTCTTGTGCAGCATGAATTTTGTACCGATCGTACATAACTTTTTGACTTGACCACCAGCAAGTGTACAGCCAACCCAGGGAAACACGTCTAGTTTGTGAACATGGTCTGACAGCATACATTCTGTGCACTCTTTTTGCTTCAGGTTTCATCTTATTTCATTCCAACCTCATTTTTCTCTTTGCCTGATTTCCTCACTTTTTTTTTTTTTGCTCTCTTTATACTTATTTTTCTAGGCAGCCTCAAAACCATTTTAGAATGAGTCTAAAACAGACAAATAAAAGCTCATAAAGAAACCTGTGATGATGTAACACATCATCTTGACAGAAGAAAAGAGAGAACAGAATGATTTTAGTTTATCTCAAAGGGAAAAGATGATATTCTTATCTCCCTTCTGATGTTGAGTACAGTTTTAGAAAAGTGACACTTCACACTTTTTATCTTATAAAAAAATCTTGATCCCTCATTGGCTAATTCATTTTAAGCTCGTTCATTTCATTTTAGATTAGGGGGTCTGTATGTCTGTGATGTACTGATGAATAAAACATGGGTTAAATATCTCATCTAAGTTTATACTAATTATGTTGGGACAAATGCCAGTCATCAACAACATTTCTCACAAAGTTGTGTTTATTTTTTTAAATTTTTTTTTTATTTATTTTTATTAGTTGGAGGCTAATTTCTTTACAATATTGTAGTGGTTTTTGCCATACATTGACACGAATCAGCCATGGATTTACATGTGTTCCTCATCCCGATCCCCCCTCCCACCTCCTTCCCCATCCCATCCCTCTGGGTCTTCCCAGTGCACCAGCCCTCAAAGTTGTGTTTAAAGAAAGTATTCAACTGTTTCTCTGGTTTTTAATAAAGTCTGATTGCTATTTACAGGTAACTTGAAAAGTATTCTTTAGAATTAAATACATAAGTGAAAACAAGTATTTTATATTTTATTTATTTTTAATTTTTATTGAAGTATAGTTGTTTTACAATGTTGTGTTAGTTTCTGCTGTATAGCAAAGTGAATCAGCTATTAATATAATATGTATATATATATATCCCTTCTTTTTTGGATTTCTTTCCCATTTAGGTCGCCGCAAAGCACTGAGGAGAGTTCCATGTGCTGTACAGTAGGTTCTCATTAGTTATCTATTTTATCCATGGTCTCAATAGTGTAAATGTGTCAGTCTTAATCTCCCAATTCATCCCCCCGTTCCCCTCTTGGTATCGATACGTTTGTCCTCTGTGTCTATATGTCTGCTTTGCAGATAAGTTCATCTGCACCATTTTTGTAGATTTCACATAAAAGTGATATTATAGAGTATTTGATTTTCTCTTTCTGACTTACTTCACTCTGTATGACATCTCTAGGTCCATCCACATCTTTGCAAATGGCACTGTTTCATTTCTGAACAAGTATATTTTCAAATTCATTCAGTTCTGAGTATCTACAGAGATGACACTGGAGAAATTCACACGGTAGTGATGTGACTAAGGAGACTAGCAGGATGCACAGTGCTCTCCTTTCCGAAAATTCTTCATTTCAGATGTAATTATAGGCAAGATGATCATCTTAATAGCTGTTGATTATCTTAGTGAACCACCAGGCACATTCCTTACGATAAAATTAAATTAAGCAGGGAGAAAATTACTGAGAATTATTTAATGCTGATACACCTTTTAGATAGTTAACTTAATACGTACAGCATGGCGCTCAGGGTCCTTGAGGAGCTTTTTCTGCAAGGACAATAAGGTGGGGGTCTTCCTGGCACAGCTCTAGGATGGTTTTTGATGCTTTGAATCTTACACTGTTGAGTGCCCAGATTTGATTTAACTGAAAAGCAAAACAAAACAGAACAAACAAACTGTGATTTCCTAAATGAATCTTCTTGGCTTAGAGGATTAATTCTGTTATTTGCTGAACACTCATAGTGCATCAAATATGATTCCAGATAATGTGCAGGCTTTTTACTCAGGGAATGTAAAATCTAGAAGGGATAAAAAAGAAAAAGACTCATCATGTCCAAGAATAGTCACAGCAGCATCTTAGATTTTCAAAATTTGTGTGTGTAATTCCAACTCCTTTTATTCTAATTATTATCCAGGAAGTAGCTGAGGTGGGAAGATTCCTTTTAGAGGACAGTTCCGTCAGTGACAACACTGGTTTCCTCAGATGCGTGAGCCAGGAGCTGGGGAGGAAAGCTCAGTAGCCAGGCGGCTGTGGGTGCCTGGGGGCAGGGAGGGCGCGTTGAGGGCCTGGACTGACAGCTCATTGCTGAGGAGCCTCTGTGCTCTAAGTCGTGCCTCCGCCAGGCTGAGTGCATGACTCAGATGCACTCCATGGCCACGCTTCTGTGACTGGAGCCGGCTCACTGGCCTGAACTCACGACTCCGTAACTTGAAGACGTGTCAGTAGCGACAGGCGCCGCCAGCAGCTCTGGGAGGGGACACAGGTTCACGTCGTCAATGTGGCCGGAGCGTGGGGCAATGCCTCGTGCGTGGTGAGTCTCTCACCGCAAGACAAACGGCTCGGCTGGAGGCTGGAGGCAGGAGTTTCGAGTTCGGCCTGTGGTGGAGCCTCTGCTCAGGCCAGTGGCTTTTCTTGGCGCCTGGTCTGATGGTAACTGTACTGCCATGTCTGGTGCAAGGACGGATCCCCGCAGTGACGGTGGCCCCCTGGGTCATTCAGGCTCCCTCTGAAGCTTTATCCCAGCCATCCTTATTGGAGGATGGACCCTTATCATGGGCAGCTGTATGAATTACTTGGATGGTTCACTCAGCAGCTGTGATTTGTTTCCAGGGTTTTCTTTTTTAAAAATTTTTATTGGAGTAGAGTTGATTTATAATGTGTTAGTTTCAGGTGTCCAGCAAAGTGAATCAGTCATACATACACACATGTCCACTTGTTTTTAGATTCTTTTCCACATAGACCATTTCAGAGGACTGAGTAGAGTTCCCTGTGCTATACAGTAGGTCTTTATTAGCTATCTATTTCATACATAGTAGTAAATGCAGGTTCGATCCCTGGGTCGGGAAGACCCCTGGAGGAGGGCATGGCAACCCCCTCCAGTATTCTTGCCTGGAGAATCCCGTGGACAGAGGAGCCTGGTGGGCTGCAGTCCACAGGGTCACAATGAGTCAGACACGACAGAAGTGGCTTAGCACACGCAGAGTGTGTGCATGGCATTCTCAGTCCCCAGCTTATCGCTGTGCCTCCGTCCCCTGGTAACCATGTTTGCTTTCTACATCCATGACTCTGCTTCTGCTTTGTAAATGAGTTCATTTGGACCTCCTGCTTTTTTTAGATTTCACATATAAGTGATGTCATATGATATTTGTCTTTCTGTGACTGATTCACTTCACTCAGCATGACAGTCTCTAGGTCCATCCCTGTTGCTGCAAATATAGCATTTTTTTTGCTCTTTTTTGTTGCTGAGTAATATTCCACCAAATATATGTACCACAGCTTCTTTATCCATTCCTCTGTTTATCCACCTATCTGATGCGAAAAGAGGCATCTTTAATCTTCCAATCAGTAGTTTTCCATGTGGCAACAAGACTGACAGGCCACTGGCAACAATCCAAGAGTCAGTAAAAATATACAGGTTCACCAAGGGGAGTGCTGGCTGGAACCATGAAAATAAACAAGTTCCACCCACCGAGGAGAGTGGCTACTTATTTTTGTCCTTCATGGCTCTCACTGAGGTTGAAAGCCACAGCAGACCAGTGAGGACCCTGGGCTTCAAGTTCGTGAAACCAATATTCATAGAGACTTGCTGTTCAAAGGGGTCACGAGGCTTGTGAGGCCCCAAAGGTCCTAGCTTGTCTCCATGTGGCTTCTGGTCAGAAGTGCCAGAATATTCCCCAGACGGGTATGGAGAGCAGCAACACAATTATATGTCCAGCAGTGGAAGCCACAGAAATAATACACTGTGAACCTTCCTTCTCTACTTTGAACAAACCCTGCCCAAGCCCCTCCAGCGGCTTCCTGACATCTCTGCTGGTTACAGACTGGGTGGGATGGCAGCGTTGGCCCCCACAGCCTATGAAGCCAGAGCCGTTCGAGTCCCTGCTTCTTGAAGGTGCACAGATAACCTGCGGCCTGTAGTCGCCCTGGGGACGAGGGGACTTGGGCGTGCGCCTAGTCAACGTCCTCCTTAGAACAGCTGGGTTTTGTGTGCGGGGGAGGGAGAAATAAAGGATGCAGAGGCAGAAGTGGCTCTGCCCCTGGTGAGTAAGAAGCATTTATTTTCATTATTGCCACCATCTATTTTAGTTTGGGGGACCCTTGCTTCAACAGCCATCCCTCTCATCCCCCATTGCTTTTCTGTTAGGACTGTGGGGTCTGCATTTTTTGTTGACTTGGGCACGCAGCAGAGAATTTCATAAAGCAGTCTGCTTTATCCAGGACATTGCAGCTCCCTGCCAAGATAATATATTTTACATTCTAATTCTGTTTCAACAGGAGGGTTAGGAACGTTCTCCAGGCCTGTGGGTCTGGCTGCAGGAATTTATCTAGAATTCATCTGGAATTCATGGGTCAGTTTCTCATTTTCCAAGGGATTGCCTTTGTCAGCGTTGTGACTCCAACTCTGGGCCTAGGAGCCGAATACTAGCCAGTGAGTCATTCATGGTTTCCCTTGGGAGTTTATCTTGTCTCAGGGAAGTCTCTCTAGAGGGCAAAGCTCCTTTGTGGCAGCTGGCAGGGAGGCTTGGACCTTTCACAGTCAGCTTGGGTGGATTTAAGGTGGGCTTGACAGGCTGCCACAGGGCTGAGTGGCAAGATGTCTGCTTTGGCCATTCCTCCTTAACAAGCATTCTGTGCTCCAGGTCCTCACCCCTCCAAGTGAATCAGCCAGTTCTGTCCACAGCCTTTCTAAATTTCCCTTTCCTGCTTTGCAGCTCACCTTAAGTGCTTCTGTCTTTAACTGTTGCCTGAAATGTTGGAAACTTCCCCTCTTGCTCAGGGGAGTGTTAATAGCTAGAGTGCAGCAGGATCTTAGATCCTTGACCAGGAATTGAACCCATATTCCCTTCAGAGGAAGAAGCGTGGAGTCTTAACTGCTCACTGTACTGCCAGGGAGTTCCCCAGAGGCAGCTGTCTTTGAACCCACCTCTCTGTGCTCGGCCTGCAGCCACTTCCCACTTTCTCCTCTTTATCAGGCAGTGGCGTGGAGGACCATGGGCTGCCCAGTTGGAACACCAGAGGTTTTCAAAGCTTTGGAAGCATGGAAAGTTGTAGGAAGTTGTGGGAAGTATATATACAATGCTGGTCATGTGAAATGTCAAGCATGGATCATGCTTGGGCCTGTTCCACCAGCGTGTAGGCAGTACGATTTAAAGACAAAGATACTAAAGCGAACAAAGTGTTGAAATTACTGGGTACGTATCAGATGGACACAATGAGGACCAATCTCGCTTAAAGTTTGACTCTTCTTACGTGAAAAATAAGACAGATTCTTGGAATTTATGTGACAGACTTTTTTTTTTCCTCAAGGGAAATAACAGATGTTGCCCATTCTGCTCTTGAAGACAATGCTCATGTCACATTTTCTTGCTTTGTGTCTAACAGAAGGGAGATGGGGTGATAGACAAAGCTGAGCTTCAGGAAGCGTGTGACCAGGCCAGCTTGCACTTAGACGAGAAGCTCCTGGACCAGCTATTTGAATACTGTGATGTGGATAATGATGGGCTGATTAACTACCTCGAATTTGCGAATTTTCTTACCTGGAAAGATAAAACCCCCCTTAAAGAGTATGAAGAGAGGGTCCTCATTAAAGGTAATTAATTTTTGAAGGTTTGCTAACTTCTTAAATGTACTTTCATGTTTTCTTTGTCCTGGGAGTTCAACTCTTGTCAACTTTAATATCATGTATTTAGAAATATGCACATATATACATATTTATTTTCTTTTTCATGCATAGAATATCTGTGGAAGGACAGGAAAGAATTTGATAACATTTATTATTTCTGGGGAGGTGAGGTAGGGATAGGTTGCTAAGGGACAGTCTATGTTTTGGTATCTCTTGAGTTTGGAACGATATATTACTTACTCAAAACAGTTATGAGCAAAGCAATTTACACAGAAGCCCAAAATATGAAAGAGAGTTCCTAAGAAAGATGTTTGAAAACCATATTCTTAGAGAAATTAGCTTCTCTTCCCTGGAAAAGTCAATTGTAAAATAGAACTTGATCTTTTACATTTTTTAAGAAAAGGACAACCATAATCTTGACTTTATTCAAATATTTTCATGTTTACACATTATCTTCCTGTCACTAACCACATATAGCTATACATATATACATATGTAGAAATACATGTGTGCATGTGTGTATGGAAATACTTTAAAATAGCTAAAATCACAGTGAATGTACCATTTTTATTTAGCTTAAAAAAAACGTAGGTCTCAAATTTCTATGGAACGAAGAGATACTTTCACGATTTCTGTAAACTTCATTTTCAGTTCCTTCACACTGATGTATTGTAAATTACTAAACCATTTCCTCACTCTCTAGAACTTAGGTTATTTCCAGATATTTCAAGAGTAATATGAGTGACTGTCTAACAATTACCATCTTTCAGAAAGCTGTTTCTAATTATATCTCATTTCTTTTTTTTTAGTATCTCATTTCTTAAGAATGTCATTTTTGTTCCAGAAGTAACTGTTTTCATTTTGCCTTTTTCAATGATTGTACCAATTTGCAGTTTTATCAGTCAAGACTGTGAGAAGGTTTTACTCCAATCTAGTTACCATTGAGTGTTATTTCAAACATTCTGGTAATTTAGTTGTTATATAATGATACCTCATTTGCTTTAATTTTCAAGTCTGGATTATTAGAGATGATTACCTTTTAAAAGGTTGTTTGCATTTTTATCTCCTCTTGGAATATCTCTCCCTTTAAAAAGTTTTCACTTTTATTCCTGCAAAACCAATGCCTCATTTTGGGCTTTATTGAGGATGGGCGCCCTTACCAGTTTCTGGGACAGCTTTTCTACTCTATCCACTAGAAGGAGAGCAGGAAGATCTTTTTTTACCTAATGAAGCTTCTTATAGAAAACAGCTCTACCTTAATCCTCTCAGAAATAAGCAGAGGGTGACAGTATTCTTCTTGGCACAACTCATGAAGTAGTAGGGAAAGCAGAAGCCTGTTTTCAAACCAGATGGTTCTTCAAATTGTTCCTGGTTTTGCGGTCCTGACTTCAGCAGCCCTTTTCAGTTTTGGGGTTTTTCCTCTTTCCTTTTCTTCTAAGGTGGGTCAGTCAGCAGGGGCTTAGGAATGGTCTGTCCCAGTGTTGTCGGCTAGAGAAAAGGGGCTGCGTTCTTCAAGGAGCTGGCTTTCTGGAAGTTTTCTAAAACCTTTTTCACCCTTGTTCCGGATTTCTGCCTTTAGGAGGAGGGGCGCGCGGAGGGGATTAGAGGATCTGGGACCCTGGGCCTGGCGCTTTCGGGGCCACGGCCGCAGGAGCTGGGGGAGGGGCGGGGCTCAGGTGTCTTCCGGTCCCGGCGGACGCCGGGCGCCGCCCGCCTTCGCGCCCCGCCCCTCGGCTCCCGGCGCGGGCGGCCGCGCGCCCCCTAGCGCAGGCGGCGCACTTCCGGTGCGGGAGGCGCTGCGGCGGGACTGAGTGCTCGGCCGCGCAGCTGCCTCGGCGAAGCGCGGCTGCGGAGGAGGGCCGAGTCTAAGCAAGGCAGCCGCACCTCAGGGTTATCTTTTGTACGCTGACTTGGAGGGGGCTATTTATAGAACTGGGCGCGCCCAGCGAGTCTCCTCACTTCTCCAAATGTCGCAGTGCTTGGCGCTCCCCCGCCGCGATCCAGGGTTTGTGTGGCGTTTGTAACTCCAAACACATCTTCTCTTACCTTTCCCAGGGCATAGTCCTAGGAACAGCTCTGGTAATCCTGTATTCAAGTCAAATATGAAAATGAGCTCCAATTTTAAAAGAGAAGAAGGAAAAAGAAGTTTTCTGTTTTCTTTTGGTGTTTCAGGCTGAAAAGCTTTATTCTAGAGTGAAGTGAGCAGAGTGGTGACTAGAAATAGTAGACGTTGTTCCCATTTCCTGATGTATGAACTTGGGCTTCCGCAGAGAGTTTTGGTGTCAGTGATGTGTCTGCACCAGCTCAGGCTCCCGTTCCACCAGCAAGAAGAGACCAGCTGCGAAAACTCACCTTGCTACAGAGCGAGCTCTGGGTTGTAACTTTGTCCTGCACTATCCCCCCCACCCCCCGCCCCCGTTTCCCTCTTTGTTTGAAGGTAGAAAACCGGATTGTGCAAACCCTGATGAGGCTAATGTAGAAGAATCTGAACCAGCTCTCCTGTTAAAGCCTGAAGATATTGTCTTAAAAGAACCAGGGAGCTCAGAAAAGACTCTGCGGACACTTCTGAGGCCAAGCGATAAAGTTTCTAATCACTACAAAACGACTTCTTCCGAGATCAGTGCGGTTGTAGGCGCTGTTCCTTCTACTTGTAAGTTTGTCACCTTATATGCTGAGCTTTAAAAGGAGCAGCAAACGCAGAAGGGGAGTGCCCTTTTATTGTACCCAGCCTCCATTAGACCCTTAACGTTCTCAAAGCCTAGAACCTTTCATTCAACCTTGTGTTCTAAGCAGCCAGGGGGGCTTACTTGATATAGGCTGAATTGAGCTAGTGTTCATGGTGACCCAAGTAAAACGATTCTCTATGTGTTAATGAAATTGAAACCATTATAGCTCAGAACCCCGAATGTTAGATATTGTCATAATTCAGAATTCACCAAGAGGTAGAAGACTCCTTTCGGCTGCACCATGAAGCATTTGGGATCTGTTTCCCGACTAGGGACCAAACTGATGCCCCCTGCATTGAGAGCCTGGAGTTTTAACCCCTGGACCACCAGGGAAGTCCCAAGTGGTAGGAGACTTAAATCAAGTGATTCTTAGCTAGAAACCGATTTTCCCTCAAATATTTGAGGAGCTGTTAGAGAAGAGTGCCTTCAGTTTCATTCTCCATCTGTTAGTCTGCTAGAGCTGTTGCAACAAATACCACAAACTGAATGGTTAAACAGCGGAAATTGATCATCTCTTTTTTGGATTTCCTTCCTATTTAGGTCACCACTCAGATTCACTTTGCTGTTGCAGTAGAAACTAACAGAGCGTTGTAAAGCAACTGTATTGCAATAAAAACTAAAACAAATAAAATTTGAAAAAAAGAAATTGATGATTCCACGATGCTGGAAGTCCGAGATCAGGGTGTTGGCAGGCTGGCTTCCTTCTGAGGCTGTGAGGGGGCTTTTTCCCCAGGCCCATCCTGGCTTCTGGGTGTTTGTTGGCAGTCTTTGGTGCTGCCCGCTTTCTGCTGCATCAGCCCGATCTCTGCCTTCATCTTCATGTGGTTTTCTCCCATGTGAGTGTCCATGCCCCCGTGTCCCCTTTTTATAAGAACTCCAGGCGTATTGGACTGAGGGTCCATCCTTCTCCAGTATGACCACATTTTAATTATTCCTGCAATGACCCTATTTCCAAATAAGTCCACCTCTTGAGGTACTAGGGTTAGGACTTTAACATAAGAGTCTGGGGAGGATACAATTCAACTCATAGACCCCAAAATCTCAGTACCAATCATAAGGAATGCTCGTTATTTAGAAAGGCTCTTTTATGTTGGTCAAGATCCCTTTTTTGGAGTAAGGCCATGATTAAGGATTTACATGTTTTTCTTTACTGGATTTCATAGACACACTTAATATTCTGTTGTGATGAGATCTTGCTGTTCTCTGTGGAATAGTCCTGTCCAACAGAAATACAGTCGTCGTCATATGTATTTAACATTTTTTTAGTAGTCACGTTAAGAAGAAGAAACAAGTGCAATTAACTTGAATAGTATATTGGGAATTCCCTGGCAGTCCAGTGGCTAGGACTCCGTGCTTTCACAGCTGTGGCCCAGATTCAATACCTGGTTAGGGAACTAAGATCCTGAGAGCCACATGGGGCAGCCAAAAGTTTTCTTTTAAATAGTACATATTTGTACTATTGTATGTATATATAATACACAATATGCATCTCCAAAGCATTGTCATCTCAACAAGGAATCAATATAAGATGACTAATTAAATGTTTCACATTCTTTCTTTGGGTACTAACTAAATCTTGGAAATTGTGTATACCACACTCACAGCACATCTCAGTTTGGAGTGGCCACATTTCTGGTGCTCAGTGGCCCTGTGGCTGGCAGCTGCTATATTTAGAATGTCTGTGTTCCCCCTTGATTGATGTCCTAGGTTACCCCACGTATGGTGTTCCAACCATTCGGTCTGATATTCCTGCCCCCCAAATTCGCCGAGTCAGTGACAGGACGAGCTACGGTGAGGAGGGAAATGCCTACTCGCTGCTGCATCCTACCATCTTTGCCCAGAAAGGGGTGTTTGAAAGGGACTTCTTCAAGACCAGATCAAGACAAGAGGTACCGCATGGGATCTCAAAGGTGTTGAGAGAAAGGCCAGCTTCACATTGGCACAAAGACGGAAAGGTCTATTTACTTGAGCTCTTACATTACAGAAGCCATCAGGAGCCCCTCAGATTAGGATTCCTGAGGACCATGTGCAGTTTGGTTGTGATATTCGGTACAATTCTTCAAGTGGAACTTACTCTGATAAGAGGCATTTCACTCATGTCATATATTCACCATGACCTATGTCTAAAAGGAAAAATGTTTCCCTAACATTCAACACTCTTCTTTGCTGAGTAAAAGCAAAGAGGCTCAGGACTTCCCTGGTGGCCCAGTGGTTAAGAATCCGCCTGCCAGTGCAGGGGACATGGGTTCGGTCCCTGGTGGGGAGAGTCCACATGCCAGGAGGCATCTAAGCCCGCACACTGCAGCTACCGCCTGTGCTCTGGATCCCACGCTCCATGATGAGAGAAGCCCCCGCAGTCAGAAGCTCCCACCGCGACTGGAGAGAAGACCTGCTCACCACACCTGGAGAAAGCCTGCATGCAGCAGCAAAGACCCAGCACAGCTGAAGATAATGTTTTTATAAAAGCAAACATGCTCAGTTCCTTCCTTGTGTGAATCTCCCTGTGGTCATCCCCAAAACCACAGAGTACGTGTGAGGAGGGCCCCTCTGCCTTCTCCGTGAGCTGTTAGCTCAGGTGATGGCAGCAAGCCCTGATATAAAATGTTCTGCCCTGTTTTCATGTGTCAGCCCCACACGTGTCTCGTTTTTTCACTTGGAAAACTCGGTCGTCACACCCCAGGTGATTTTCTTCCTATGTTGTGTTTCAAGCAGGTGCAACCGGCTAGGCCAGAATAGCCGCTGGGGTTCTGAGGGCTGAGAAGTAATAGTAGGTCTGGGTCAGAGCAGCCTGTCTGAATCTGCCATTGTGGAAGGCAAGTTGTGATCTAGGGAGCAACTCTTTCTTTGAACTCTCAGATCCAGAGCTGGGAATGATGTGAACAGACCTAGGATGCTTTCCAGGACTTCAGACGAAGGGTCCCTCACTTACAAACTTGCAGACTTAGTCACAGATTCATTGCAGCGATTCATCCTCACTGCATGGGGGTGGGCAGAAAGACAGAGGACGATGCCTGCTGGCTGGTCCCAAAGAAGGGACCCTCGATCCATCACAGAGCAGGTGGAGAGGAGACACCCCCAGACTGTATTTTTCTCTTCCCTCAGTCACTCTAAAGGGCCTATGGAATAGGCTGTTGGGGTTGATAAAAGAAATTAAAATCTGCTTGTTTCCTGATGCTTAAAATTCTTTTAACTAAAAAAAACCAAAAATTCTTTTAACCAGTAAGTCATTGTTTATCTCATGATTCTGGGTAGAAAGAACCCAGAGGCTTGCACATATAATATTCCAACCAAATGATATTCTAGAAAAGGCAAAGCCATGGAGACAGACCAGTGTGCCAGAGGCTTGGAGGGAAGATGGGGGATAAATAGCTGTAGCACAGAGGATCTCTAAGGCCGTGAAACCCTCCTGTATTATACCATAATGGTGTGTGCTGAATCGCTTCAGCTGTGTCCGACTCTGCAACTCTATGCACTGCTGTTTGCCAGACTCCTCTGTCCATGGGATTCTCCAAGCAATATCCTGGAGTGGGTTCCCATTCCCTTCTTCAGGGGATCTTCAGGACCCAGGGATCGAACTCTCACCTCTTAGGTCTCCTGCATTGGCTGGCGAGTTCTTTACACTACCGCCACCTAATGGTGGATACACATCATTATACATTTGTCAAAATCCATAGCTTACGCAACACAGAGAGTGAACCTTAACATGAACTGTGGACTTCAGTTAATAATACTGTATCAATCGTGGCTCATTGCTTGTAACAGATATACTACACTTAATGCAACGTTTCTGGTAGTCCAGTGGTTAAGACTCTGCACTTTCAATGCACCAGGGGTTTGATCTCTGGGAAATAAAATCCCACATGTCCTGTGGCACAGCCAAAAAAAGAAAGAGATATTAAAAGGGGCTTCCCTAGTATTCCAGTGGTTAGAATCCACCTGCCAACGCAGGGGACAGGGATTGGATTCCTGGTTCAGGAAGATCCCACATGTGGCGAGCAGCTAAGCCCAAGGGGTACGACTACTGAGCCTGTGCCCCGGGGCCTGAGAGCCTCGGCCACAACTACTGAGCCTGTGCCCTGGAGCCTGAGAGCCACGGCCACTGAGCTTGTGCCCCGGAGCCTGAGAGCCACGGCCACAACTACTGAGCCTGCGCCCCGGAGCCTGAGAGCCACGGCCACTGAGCCTGCGCCCCGGAGCCTGAGAGCCACGGCCACAACTACTGAGCCTGTGCCCCGGAGCCTGAGAGCCACGGCCACTGAGCCTGTGCCCCGGAGCCTGAGAGCCACGGCCACGGAGCCTGTGCCCCGGAGGCTGGGGCTGCACCTACTGGACTCACGTGTCACAGCTACTGAAGCCCATGCACCCTGCAGCCCGAGCTCCACCACAAGAGAGATCCCCTCACTGAGAAGCAGCACACCGCAAGCAGAGAAAGCCGTTGCACAGCAATGAAGACCCAGCATGGCCTCAAATCAACTTTTAAAAAGAATTAGTAATAAGGGAAATGGGGGTGCAAGTGATAGAGCATATGGGAGCTTTCTGTAATTCCTGCTGTTTTTCTAGAAACCTAAAACCGCTCTAAGAGAAGTTTATTTAAAAAAAGGGCCCCGAGGCCTGGTTGGAGGACATCACCCTGAGGACAGATGGGTGTGCTCAGTCACGCCTGACTCCTTGTGGCCCCGTGGGCTGCAGCCTGCCAGACCCCTGTGTCACGGGGTTCCCCAGGCAAGAATACTGGGGCCGGCGCCATTTCCTTCTCCAGGGGGTCTTCCCGACCCAGGGGTCGAGCCTGAGCCTCCCGCATCTCCCGCATGGGCAGGCAGATGCTTTACCACTAGCGCCGCCTGGGAAGCCCTCAGAATGGATGGGTTTCTGTTTCTGTTAGCTTGTCAATACACAGGACGGAGTAGAAATGCCTCCCAAGGAGCAGGGGAGGGAGCCGCGGAGGAGATCTAGGATGCCCGAGACCCCCTCCTGGGTGCACTCTGCAGGGACATGCTCTCCCAACGCTGGGTGGGAACAGAAGCTGTGCCGGGCCTTGAGTCACCTCTGCTGTAGCTGCCGCTACCGGCAGCCCTGCTCTTCCGAATCTCGAGTCTGGTTGATTTTACTGCTGATTTCCCACAAGACACATCACGTCCAGGGGGCCTTTCAGTTGTTAGGGTTCCGTTCAGGAGGTGTGTTCGGCAGCTGTGCCACTCCTTTGGTTTTCCTGTTCACCGTCTAACCGTTCTTTCCTTTTCCTTCTTTGCTTCCTTCCTGTTGACTTTATATAAATGCTTTTCCTCTTTTGCTTTCATTTCCGCCCCAGATCTTTTCTCCTCTCTACTCATCCTAATGTTTCTTCCCGCTACTTGTTCTTCTCTCTCCCTTCTTTATTTTCCCTGGGACATACAAGTCGTGTTTCTCCCCCTCCCTCCTCTCTTTTACTATTTATCACTGCAGAGAGATGACTAATAAAGTTTGCTGGTTTTCAGCTTACTCAGGTTTTTTTTTTTTTTTTTTTGCCATGCTCCTTGGCTTGTAGGATCTTAGTCCGCAGACCAGGGGTGGAACCCAGGCCTGAGTCCTAACCACTGGACTGCCAGGGAGTTCCAACATGCTCAGGTTTGAGTCCGCTCACTTGCTCAAGCTGACACTGTCTCTCTGACATTTGCATACCCACAAGTGTGGTTAAAGTTTACAACAGGACAGTTAGAGATGTTTCATAAATGTTATTTTAAAGAAGAGAAACTAATATGCTAGGGGTTTAGATAACACACATAAAGGGTCGCCGGGATAGAAGTCAAATCTAGCGAGGCTGCCGTCTTCAACTCTTTTACTCTTTCTCCTTGAATTTGGCTGTCTCTGTTTATTTAACATTTTTTAAATTTGTTTTTTATTTATCTAATTTTCCCTGTGGATTGAACCCACATCCCCTGCATTGGAAGCTCAGAGTCTTAACCACTGGGATGCCAGAGAAGTCCCTGGCTGCCTCCTTTTAATCATAAACACTTAGAGGAGCTTTCTGTATTGGCTAGTACAGCTGAACACCCTCATATTCATTCACGTTTACAAAATGATTCCTGAACCGAGAGGCCTGGAATTTTGGTATGTGCTTATTATATGCAATAAGAGCACACACAGACACATATCCACACACACATTCACACACTTTTTAAGGGATAAACGTTCATAGTCTTAGATATTTCAAAGATGTTTTAAAAAATACAGACAAAAATACCCATAAATCTTGGTCTGACTTCAATGTTTTTTCCCCCCAGATTTCAGAGATATTATGTAACATTGGTGTCAAGCTTTCTGAGGATGAATTTGAAAATGTATGGAATCTTGCATCAAAAAAACACCACAGAGGAGAAGTTTGTGTTGAGAGCATCAGAAATGTTCTGGATGAGTTAAAACATGCAGATCGAATCAAGTGTAAAACAGCCACATGATCTTTGTGGAGTTCATTCATCTAGATTGAAGAATTGCTAAATCTGTGTTCACCTAATATGTTCAGTCCATTCTGGTTTTAGATATTATAATTCAGCAATCACTGTGGTAGGGCTCATATGCCTGGATGCATTGCTAATAAATTCGATTTTGAATTTTAAAGTTTATTTTCTTGTTTCCTATAAAGCACCAAACAACTTGACAAGCACTAGGAGTTAACCTTTAACGCACCCGAGGTGTAGCTCAGAATATATTGGAAGTTTGTCCATGTTTAGTATGCTTAAGAATTCTCAGCATTTTAGTGGGTGGTCTGAGATTCAAAGTCTTGTTTGTGATACCAGGTTCACAAAATTTTGCCCTCAGCATTTTGTTGTTTTTCTCTGTAGGCGTCACTATGACACAGCTGAAGCTTGATGGGCTTTTATGTCTCTGTCAGCATCTGAGGAAAACAGATTTAATTACAAGGAGTGGATTCAGGGTGAAAAAGCTTGACTTCAACAAAGACAATGGCTGGTGGCTTTTCACATCTATGTCTAGAAAAGCATATTGTCCTTGAAGTATCTGAAGAGGACACAGCTGACCACAGCGTTAGATATGTAGCTCTAGAGAATTGTTAGTAGCAAACTGCGCAGAATCATTCCCTCCGTTATGCCTCATCTCTTTTTTCAATTTTTATTGGTTAATTAGTTTTTGGTGATGCTGGGTCTTCCTTGCTCTGCACGAGCTTTCTCCAGCTGTGATCATGGGCTGCCCTCTAGTTGGGTGCGTGTGGCCTCTTTGCAGTGAGAGGGATCTAGAGTGCACTTGGGGGCTCTGTTGTTGCGGCTGTGGGTGCCAGAGTGCGTGCTCGGGGTGGTGGCCCAGGGGCTTAGCTGCTACTTGCATATCGAATCTTCCTGGGCAAGGGATTGAACCCGCGTCCCCTGCACTGGCGCCACCAGAGCTGTTCGCTTTGGCTCTCTGATACGCAGATGTGATGCGGGAGCCTGGATGAGCTCCAGGTGGGAATGGGTGTGACCCAGGGTGGGTGTGCTCTCTGCGTCAGGTGGGTTGAACCCATGACAGAGGCTTTCTCAGTAATATCACTTGATGAGTTGAATGATCAATAACATGTAGTCTACCTTGACCTGTGTCGCTTGCTGCTTTGTCTGTTAGTCTGAAACCTCACTCTCTAACTTAGACCTTGTGCTTATGCTGTAGTCTGTTGTGCTGTTCCATTGCTCAGTCATGTTGGACTCTTTGCAACCCCATGGACTGTGTGTGCATGCCAGGCTTCCCTGTCCTCCCCTATCTCCTGGAGTTTGCTCAAATTCTTGTCCATTGAGTTGGTGATGCTACCTGACCATCTTATCCTCTGTCACCCTCTTCTCATTCTGCCCTCAGTCTTTCCCAGCATCAGGGTCTTTTCCAGTGAGTCAGCTCTTGACACCAGGTGACCGAAGTAGTGGAGCTTCAGCTTCAGCGTCAGTCCTTCCAATGCATATTCAGGGTTGGTTTCTTTTACAACTGACTGGTTTGATCTCCTTGCAGTTCAAGGGGCTCTGAAGAGTCTTCTCTAGTTCAAAAGCATCAGTTCTTTAGCACTCAGCCTTCTTTATTGTCCAGCTCTCACATCCATATGTGACTCCTGGAAAACCATAGCTTTGACTATACAGACCTTTGTCAGCAAAGTGATGTCTTTGCTTTTTAACACCCTGTCTACGTTTGTTCATAGCTTTTCAGGGAGCAATTGTCTTCTAATTTCATGGCTGCAGTCACCATGCGCAGTGATGGTAAGTTACATTTCTTACCTTTGGCTAGAATAAGAAGGTATGAAGAACTGTAACCTCAATCAAGTTTCATGCCTTCATGATTTCTAATTCATTGTTAATGTCTTTTCTGCCTTTTGCTACAGTGACACATTTCCTAAATTGTATTGCATCGGGTATTGAGAGCTGATTTCTTGATTCCCATTTGCAGAGATCGTGGTTCCTAGTATGACATACTCTTCACGCCCTTATGCTTCTCTGACTACAAAGTGTTTTATTTTTATTTTTTATTTTTTCCATTTAGTTTTATTAGTTGGAGGCTAATTACTTTACAACATTGCAGTAGTTTTTGACATACATTGAAATGAATTAGCCATGGATTTACATGTTTTATTTTTTATGTATGTATTTATTTTTGTCTGTGCTGGGTCTCCATTGCTGAGCGGGGGCTACTCTTTGTCGTGGTGAGCGGGCTTCTCATCGCGGGGGCTTCTCTTGTTGCAGAGCGCAGGCTCTAGGTGCTTGGGCCTCAGTAGTTGCAGGCCTGGGCCTAGAGCGCAGGCCTCTAGTTGCAGGCCTGGGCCTAGAGCGCAGGCCTCTAGTTGCAGGCCTGGGCCTAGAGCGCAGGCCTCTAGTTGCAGGCCTGGGCCTAGAGCGCAGGCCTCTAGTTGCAGCCCCTGGGATCTAGAGTGCAGGCCTCCGCAACACGTGGAATCTTCCTGGAGGAGGGATGAAACCTGGGTCTTCTTCCTTGGCAGGCAGATTCTTTACCACTGAGCCACCGGGGAAGCCCCTGAAAAATGTTTTAAAGCTTAGCAATTTTGGTTCATCAATCATTCCCCTTCTGAGGAGCAAATTGGGAGTGTTAGACATGATTGGTGTGAATAATAAGTCTGTCATCCACTGCATCTGTGCCTGGGAAAGACAGCTACCTACCCTTACAAAGCTGTGGTGTTCTTACTTACAAAAGGGAAATTCCAAGGGCTTCCCTATCAGCCTGTCAGCTGGTTTCGATGGTTATGCAGATCTTAGGCACGGTCTTAGCTCAGGAAGTATCATCAAAAGGCCTGCGTTTCAGTTGTAGCTCATCTCACCCACTTGTAAGCAGCCTCTGTTCCCCACCTGTTCACGGACTCCTTATGGCGGCCTCTCGGCTCTGTGTACATCCTCCTGGTTCTCGTTTTCCTTAACTAGGCGTCCACGCTTTACTTTTTGTATTTTTTGTTTTTTTTATTAATTTATTTTTTATTGAAGGATGATTTGATTTTGGCAGATTCAACAATTCCTCTTGGCCTACTGCTCTAGGTAATTCAGAGTACCTATCATGGCCAGTCTATCACTTTTCTATATGCTTTGAGCAGAGCTCCTCATTCTATTTTTTTTTTTTAATATGCACATCCACACAATCTGCTGGGATTTTTTTGTTGTGATCATATTGACTCTAAAGATTAATTGGGGGAACTGACATTTTGATAATGTTGTGACTTCCAAACAATAAATATGATCCATCCATGCATTTATTTAGCTTTTGTTTATTTCAGTAAACATTTTTTAGTTTTCCATTTTTTAAGATTTTTTAATTTTTTATTAAAATTTTCAAGAATTTATAAAAGTAAAAAAATTGTAAAAACCCTATATACCTATTTCGTAGATTAAAATATTTTTAACACTTTGCTAGTTTTATTCCATCTATTCCCCCTATCATTTCATGGTTTTAGTTTTAGTTTTTCATGATAATGTTGTGACTTCCAAACAATAAATACAGTATATCCATGCATTTACTTAGCTTTTCTTTGTCTCAGTAAACAGTTTTTAGTTTTTCATATATATTTTGGGGGGACACACTGTGAAATTGTGGGATCTTAGTTCCCCAACCAGGAATTGAACCCAGACCCTGGCAATGAAAGCAAGAAATTCCAACCTTCCATGTTGAGATAGTTCACATCTTCTGTCAGATTTGTTTCTGTATTTTTTGTTTTAATACTGTGATAAATTCTATCAACTTTTAAATAGATTTGTTGACATATATTTACATACATTAAAATCTACTCTTTTAAAGTATGAGAGTCTATGAGTGTTGATAAAGGCATGGAGGTGTGTAACCACCATCACAAACAAATCATAAGAATGTTGTGCCGCTTCCCAGAATTTTGTCACTTTCCCTTCTTACTCTGGCTCCGACAACAGCTCATCTGCTTTCTGTCCTGTAGTTTCACCTTTTTCAAAATGTCCTATCGGTGGAATCATGGAGATTGTAGCTAGCCCTTTGAGACCAGCTTGTTTCACTTAGTAAAATGCTTCTGAGATCCATCCGCGTCGCTGCGTGGATCAGCACTGCATTCTTCTCAGTCCTGAGTGGGTTCCCACTGTGTGAATAGACCACAATTTGTCTATCCATTCACCAGTTAAAGACATGCCTTGACTTGTTTCCAGTTTTTGGCAAGTCTGAAAAAAGCTGCCATGAATAATCATGTATAGGTTTTTCCCAGAGATAAGTTTTCATTTCTCTTGGAGAAATACCTGTGGGTAAGGTTGCTGGGCCATATGGTAAGTACATGTTTAATTTTATGAGAAACTGAAACTCTGTTTTCCAGAATGGCTGTGTCATTGTGTGTTATCACCAGCAGTTTAAGGACTTTTAGTGCATCCTGTAGTGTCAGTTTTTTTCTTTGTAAATTTTAGTCATCCAATTTGGTGCACAGTAATAGCACATTGTGGTTTTAGCTTGCATTTCTATGATAACTTAATGATATTAAGCATCTTTCATCCTCATTGTTCACGCCAATACCTTCTTTGGTGAAGTGTCTATTCTAATATGTTGTCTTTTTTTTTTCTTTAAAAATTGACTTATTTTCTTATTATTAATTTTGAGAGTTTTAAAAATGCATTCTGGATATAAGCTCCTTATCAGCTTTGTGTTTTTATATTTTTAAATTTAAAAAAGAAGTTTTAAATTTTGATGAAGTCCAGTTTTATCAATAATAACTAAAGTTGCCAGCCTTCTTGAATTTGGAGATTACAAATGTAAGGTGAGATCACTTGGTTTTGTGTTTATGTTCAATTAGTTTCTTTATATGTAGGCACTGAACTTCAGATCTGGAGTAAGTGGAGCTCTGGATTTAGCGAGGGTAGGAATTTCACCTGGTGAATAAGATGGTGGGAGAAGAAATGAGCTGAGTGCATGCAAGGATGTGATTGTAGTGACTACCATGGAAACTAAGATGAGTAAAGAGGATGTTCAGAAATGAAAGGGT